AAAAAAAAGTCGGGATCTACTGATGTCACAAAAGGGAACAGCTGAGTTCATCCAATTGAGGAATATATAAATATTCAGCACCTAAATTCATGATTTTTCTCTTCTCTCAGTAATATAATCCGTTTCAGTTCTCTTTTCCGACTGATCTACTCAATCAATTTTTTGAATCTGATTTTTTATGACGACTGTTCGTGAAGGTGATGGCTTTAGAAACTTTATTAGAATAACCGAAAATTCGTTAATTGAATGAAATTAACACATGATGTTGAATAGTCAGTGATGAGAAGTCCTACTGTTATTATAAACACTCGGGAATAGCACTAAAACAGCACCATATTAACAACAGATAATTGCGTTGCACATTCTTCATTGAATTAATGCTTTACTATTGAATAAAACATGTTTCAACACTTTAGCAAGAACAACAACAAATTTTAATATAACACAATCGTTAGCTTATATATGATTTGAGCAGAATGTCGAATGGACGTACATTTTCTAATGCTGACAACTTCTTCACGTTGAAAAAATTCGCATCGTTGACGTTGATGAATGAATTGCAGAAAATGAATACAGAATGAGCAAACCAAATCACATAACTGATTGTCGATGTCGAGTATTGATGAACATTAAGAAAACAAACGAACAACGATTATTTTGTATAATATAAAAAATTCAATTGTGTTTTCACATTCACTGGTGGAGAGCCGCATCGATCGCTTTCTGAATATTTGCGAATGCATCTCGGCCTAAGTAATCCGGATGGCCGATTTCCCACGCCCTCATCCGTTCCTCGTTCGTTGGTCCTACTTCCGCTTCACCATTCACTGCTGGCATCTATAGTCGACAATTTTAAAATGTTATTCGATGAAAGTTTGTCTCATCAATTTTAGTGGCCCACCCAAGCATAGATTTAGCCAAATTCTTAGCCATTCAGTTTTGTTTTCAAGCACCAAAAATACAGAGACTGAATCGTTAGAGTTTCAAAACGCACGGTTACTTAGCTTCATATAAGTTCATGGCAAATGAAGTGAAAGTGCGAAAAAAAAANAAAAAAAAAGTTTATAGAAAATCGTTTCGCAGAGAATGTGATTCATGAAATAAAATTCCTCTGAGTGTGGTCCTAAACCTCTGGATTAAAGCTGAGAAAGGATAGAACGTTGCTTTGAATGATTTTGGATTGTGACGGATCTAGTCGCTTTCCTCTTTTGCTGATCTTGTTGCAATAACCAATAAGTGAACAGTAGCCACAGAGGTGTGAATGATGGATAAAATTGAGAGTACTAGAATATGTTTGCTTACAGAGGCCTATGCAGATGGATTCAGGCGTTTTATAGAGGATAGAGCTGATGAGCATGTTGCACTAGATGAGACTCACTCACTCCACTTCCTTCATTATATGGTGGTAATCGTTTTTTGAATCTCAACAGATTTCAATAACGATCGAACATCGTAATACCCTGGACGTTTATGATGAGGTATTCTTTCGAGCTGTGTTAGATGCCTCTCTATCTCTCCATTTTCGTTGAGTGGTAAACGCATGCGGTTAGCAAAAACAAAATCTTATTGGAAGCTATTTTCAGGGGAGATTCTAACTTCACAAAACTCTGGATTTCAATGTTAATGATGCAGTGCTGTCACAAACAAAGGATTGACTTTGTTCTCGTATCAGATGATCTCATTCGTTCCTCGAAACAAATTTTGATCAATAAACATCAACAACGTTTATAAGTCACGAAAAACTGCAATCAACTGAATGAATGACATGGTTCTCCACTATAAATGCTTTGTTAGAAAGCTTTATGTTCATGCGACTTAAAAACCACGGGTTTTACTTGAATTCTACTACCTAAAAATTGCAGCGCTTAGGATACAAATGAATGAATGAAAAGTGGAGCATTTATTCAGGAACCTTAGACTAACAGTTTTCAATAATTGAATTTCGGCACTCATAAACTCACTTCCGATACAACTGAAGTAACTGCATCGAATTCGAATGCATGTTCGTAAATGATAACAAGACAAGAATTAACGAATAGTTCCACAGTAAAGACTAACCGTAGATGAGATGGTGAGAGAACCAGACGGAGTCAGTGATATTTCACCCTTAAGAGAATATTTTGTTAGTTGAACGGACTGATCATACAACAAGTTTCGTTCTTGAAAACAACATCAATGAACAAGTTTTTAGACATCATTTGCCACAAAAACGAACATCCAGTGATCGTTTCATGCAACAAGTAACGCCGCGGTTAAACAACATCTTCAGGTATTAAATGCGCAGTTTCCTAAACGACTCATCGACGAAACTGGTCCCGTTATCTTTTCTTCGATAATGCGCTCGATGAGTTTTGAGTACAACTATAAAAAGAATGAATATTGTCTTGAAAACATTTCGTCACTGTTGAAGCATAAAATGTATCTGCTCGATTCGAGTGCATGCGTTCCGAAAAGAGGGAACAATTAAGTAATTCACAGCAATCGTGTTAAATTTAAAGTTTCGTTAGAGGATATTTGCGTATGGTATGCAAAATGAAAATAGAACGTGGAACCGCATACCGACAGCAACCCATTCATCTCGCCTACCAAATTCCTATTGTACTCACGCGTGTTTCTAAACTTTTAAGAATTCACAAATTTTTGAGATTCTGTCAAATATCCTCAGAATCAATGCTCAACGAAATATTTGGTAGTCAAGATTTCGGGTCGGATAGACTGTTCGTAGTTAACATTCATAAAAAACACCAGAACAAGAAGTGAGAATTGTCATGGCTGACAAACGAACTGAATGAATGATTACTGCAATTTAATAAAATACTGTTTCACACCTAAATACACTCAAAATTCACGTTGTTGAATTCGAGAAATATCAAAATGGAATCATTCGATCAAATTCATTTTAGAGTCATAACGTGAAAGTGCCTGATCTTTTACTGTAAAGATGTGGTTATTTCGAACCAAACACACGACCAAAAAATAAAGAGGAAGGCGACCGAATAAAGGACAACGGGCACAGGCCATAAGGAACTTAATATTCGCTATTCACTATGCTATGCTGATTGAAACGGAAACGGAATCAGAGAAATGTTATAAAAACGAAACGACAGGGATGGCTTTTGAGAGAGGCAAACAGTAAAGAGAAAGAGGTTGACGGGCACTCACAGATGAGTAAGCTGCCATTTGGTTGGCGAGATGTTTGGGAAGGAAGCGGAGCGGAGTCCACGTCTGATAGCTTGGTGGAACGCAACGAAAAACGCGCATGCATGGATTTTGGCTTGTGTCTGTAGACGGTGATGGTGATGAGACGTTGATATCAGCTGATTTGGATGGCTGATTATCTTGTGATTCTGAGGTATGTCCATCTTGTTGACGTTGCTGTTGATGTTCCTGCTCCTTTTGATTGCTTTCACCCTCGACTATATTCAATCCCTTATCAAGTGGTAATAAATGTTGCTCGAATGGCTCATCTCTACGATCAGGCACACTAGTACAAGAATCAGGAGGTAGTGTGCACACAGGCATCGAGCACGACCAATTACTCACGTGTGATGAAGGTAGATTCGGCGCGACGCGTGTAGAAAACAACGACCACCAATGCGCGATATGTTCTGAAATGTGATGACCACCCGACTCTTGCCATGGCTTCACTGCACCCAAAAAGTGCACTATCTTCACCTGAAAATACGTTCGTTTATTGATTAATGAATCGAATTGAGGCGTTTGAACAACATAAATAACTACGACATCAAAGCATTTGGGTCTGCAAATGTTCTTAGTGATCAGTGTTTCGATACACTCTGGTGGAACCACTTTGAGTGAACAGTTCGAGCTTTTATCCCTAGAGGCTCTAAATCTAGGATCAAAAATGTGTTAACAGTCGATTTCCGTGAACAAAATAGTTGAAAATGTGTACTAAATGGAAAATATCTGAAACAGTGGAATGGTCATTAAAAATGGAATATG